GAGTCTGGGGGTGCCATCTTCCAGGTTTGGGACTGGGGGGGGGGTCTCCCAGAATGACAGATGGTGTCCAGGGAAGGCTTCCAGGACAAAGTGGGAGTCCAGTGGCACTTTTAAGGGCAAGGAAGTATCATTCCGGGAGATAAGCTTTCCTGTAGGTGCACACACACTTCTTCAGAGATCAGATTAAAGCAGTTGGTAAGACGCTGAACTGCAGGCTGTGGAAGGTCGGTGGTTCAGCAACCCGAGTGTGCCGCATGACGGAGTGAGCTCCCGTCCCTAGTTCCAGCTCCTGCCAACCTAGCAGTTCGAAAGCAAGAGATTGCAAGTAGATAAATAGGGACCACTTCGGTGGGAAGGTGACAGCGTTCCGTGCGCCTTGGTGTTTAGTCATGCCGGCCACATGACCACGGAAACGTCTTCGGACAGCGCTGGCTCTTCGGCTTGGAAACAGAGATGAGCCCCGCAACCCTAGAGTCGGATTCGACTGGCTTGCGCGCAAGGGAACCTTTACCTTTACCTTAAGAGCTGTGAATGGCAGCAAACAACCAGATGTGAGAACTAAGTTGGGGCTGCAATGTTCCCTCTAAGCTATGGAGTCTTGTGAGCAAAAATCCTACTTTGTGAGCTGCTGGCATTAAAGCTGTGAGCGAGCCATTTGGCGACTGCATAGATTAGTTTGCTCTGGAGCCACCCTTCCTGAGCGAAGACAAAAATGTGTGAATCAGAGGCTAAAAAACGGTGAGCTAGCTCACCCTAACTCAGCTTAGAGGGAACACTGGTTGGGAGTCCAGCGGCACCTTTAAGAGCAGGAAAGTTTCATTCTGGATGTGAGCTTTCATGGGCACGAACACTTCTTCGGTGTATATAAAAGTAATAGAACAAAATCTGAGTCCAGTGGCACCTTTAAGACCCACAAAGTTTCATTCTGGGTATGCGCTTTCATGGCCATGCGCACTTCTTCAGTGTATATATAAGTAACAGAACAAACTTGGACTCCAGTGGCATCTTTAAGACCAACAGTTTTTTCCTCTGGGTATAAGCTTGCGTGGCATTCACACTGAACTGATCTCCAGATGAAATTTTAGTTAGTTAATGTTTATTTCATTCAATTAGACCCTGCCTTTCCCCTCCACAGAGACCCAAAGCACTGAGGTTATTCTCCTCTCCTCCGTTTTCTCCTCACAACAACCCTGTGAGGTAGGTCAGGCTGGGAGAGTGTGACTGGCCCAAGGTCACCCCGGGAGCTCCCGTGGCACGAGGGGGGGATTCGAACCTGGGTCTCCCAGATGCTAGTGCGATGCTCTG